GAAACTTTGTGCTCTTCTCTCTCTCTTCCATCTATGGGCCCTTGACCGAACAATTAAACCCATTACAGCATAATCATACAGTGAATCAAGTTCCGCTTTTATGTCGTTTAAATATTCAATATTTTTAGGGGTAGGATTCAAGCCACATAAAATATCAAGATCATTCAATTTATGTTCCAATTCTTCGATTTTTGAACGACGTTGTCGTTCCTTTTGTTTACTATATTGAATAGTAAATTTGCGTATTTCATACTTCAAGAGATCCCAAAGAAGCCTCTTATCACCTATGTTACTATATTTTTTTCCATTCAACAAAACGTTCGCTAATTTGGTTATGATAATTGTCGTCATCTAAAAGACTGCAGTTGAACTTCCAAAAAGGAAGGTTCACGTAGTGAATCATGTGGATCTAAAACAAGAGCAACAGCCGAATGGTCGCTAAATGAAACTGGGCTGAAGTCGACAGAGTCAACAATGTTTTGTATGTGGTCAGATATAAGAAGATATTCAATCTTACTGGCAATAGGTGTGGTCCCACCTCTCCTCCAAGTAAAACGTCGAGTATCAACATTGCGGATACGCCATATATCTACCAAATCATGTTTTTCTAGCAAATTTGAAAATGATTTCTTAGATTTAACCCAGGTATGGGGTCAATGTCAATATCATAGGTAAAATTAAATTCGCCCCAACGATATTTCTTATACCATTGACGTTTAACGTCACAATTTTAATTTTTGGTACCATTTCTCACGATGAGATAACTTGTAGTCTCTTATACAAAACAGTGCAAATAACATAATTAAAAATAAACTACAGTACATAAAACATATAAATATGACTATAAAATAGACGAAAAACAACATAACGTACGAACAAAAATGCTTGTATTTGCTTGCAAATCTCTCGATTTGTTTACCTCTATCACAAATATAATGCATCCAGTCGCCACGAACGGGCTTTCAAAACACAGATCGGAGGCCCCAAAAAAGCAAAATACCAAAAGAAAAAAAACATGCATAGAACCGAACAATGAAAAGATAACAGCAATGAAGCGAATGCTTTCAATACAGCTAACTTAGCATTTCGTCAACGGGAATTGATTTGCATATTAAATAAAAGATATTTTTGGGATATTTGGAACTGTGTGTGACATACTCAAAATACAACTCAAAATATGATAATAATTATAAAAGGCAAAAAACAATGTTTTAACTTTTATATTCCCTACCGTTTTTGAATACTGGCTTGTCACCGCGATTATACGCTTCTAACATAATCGGCCGTAGGGCTTTCTTTTTCACATAGTCCGCTTTGGACAAGTCATCAACGGCAAAAATTTGCGTTCCCTCCAAGGCTTTGCAGACATTTTCTTCACTTTAAACTTCTGAGGTCTAAGTACAAATTTAGCGATGATATGACGAGACTTCGAACCACCTGTACTGCCAACGCGATGTGCATTTTCAATAGCAGGCTCACTAATTTGAAAGCGATCCTTTAGTAACTCAGTTATTACGTTCACACATTTTTCATGTTGATTTTCCTTAATACCATCGAAACGCAAGTTG